TGATTTGACTATATTTTCCAAAGTACCTATTTGTTCCTATTTATCCCAAACTTGTCCTAATTTTATTTATTTTTTTAAAGATTTTATTTATTTATTTGACAGAGAGAGAGAAAGTGAGAGAGGGAACACAAGCAGGGGGAGTGGGAGAGGGAGGAGCAGGCTTCCCAGTGAGCAGGGAGCCCGATGTGGGACTCGATCCCAGGACCCTGAGATCATGACCTGAGCCGAAGACAGACGCTTAACGACTGAGCCACCCAGTCGCCCTTGTCCTAATTTTATATAGAACCAGCTACAGATACATACATAACGTACAGACACACACATAGAACTGCACAAATAACTTTGCAAAAATGGTATCATGCTATGATAATTGCTTTGCAATTCATATTAGGTCTGTGGGCTAGAGTCCCAGAAAAGAAATGTTAGGTTAAAGGGAATACATACTTTACAATTTCTTGGACAAATTACTTTCCCATAAATTATATTAATTTATATTATGAGAATTCCAGTTGCTCAACACTCTTGCTAATGTTGGTTGCTATCTTCTTAAAAATTGTTCCTTATTTTTATTTCAATTGTAGCCTCCTTAGGTTTATAAGCCATTTGTACTTGTTCTTCTGTTAGTATTTTTTGCCCACTTTTCCATTGGCTTGTCTTTTTCTTATTAAATTATTGCCATTATTTATACATTAGGGATATTAGCCTTTTGTCTATTAATATGTAATACAGTGTTTTTCTCCTTGCCTAACATTAGGTAACTTGCTTTTTTTTTTTAAGATTTTATTTATTTATTTGACACACAGAGAGAGAGAGAGTGAGTGAGAGAGAGCACAAGCAGGGGGAGTGGCAGGCAGAGGGAGAAGCAGGCTTCCTGCTGAGCCAGGAGACTGACATGGGGCTTGATCCCAGGACCCTGAGATCATGACACTTGACCGATTGAGCCACCCAGGTGCCCCTTAGGTAACTTTCTTAATGAAGTCTTTCATGACATAAAAGTTTGAACTTTTTATATAGTCAAGTCTGTCCGATTTTCCTTTATTATTCTGAGTTTAGAAATGCTCCCCAAATCAACCATCAAAAAGTTGCAGAATATTGTTTTATCTGTATGTATTAACATTTTAAGAGATATATTGCTAACATTAGTATTTTTTTTAAAAAAGATTTTATTTATTTATTTGACAGAGAGAGACAAAGGGAGAGAGGGAACACAAGCAGGGGGAGTGGGAGAGGGAGAAACAGGCCTCCTGCGGAGCAGGGAGCCCGATGTGGGACTCGATCCCAGGACCCCGGGATCTTGACCTGAGCCGAAGGCAGACGCTTAACGACTGAGCCACCCAGGCGCCCCCTCATTAGCATTTTAATATTTAATATTTTTATATATGTTGAGAGATTATGAATTCACTTAAAATTCTCCCAAATCACAATTAGTTGTCCTGATACAATTTATTATATGGCTTATCTTTTCCCAAATTATTTGTAATGTCAGCTTCATCATATATTGCATTTCTATATATACCTAGGCCTATCTACTTCTGTACTAATACCACAGTGTTTCGATTAATAGTATCTTTTATATTTTTTATATTTGGTGGGACATGTATCTATTTGTGATTCTTTTTTATCAAACATTTCTCAGTAATTTCTTCGTATTTATTTTGATATTTGGACTTTTCTTAGTTTCAGAATCCTGCTTTGATATTCTAATTTGGATTTCACTATGTTTATGGATCTATTCAGGTGGGATTAGCATTTTAAGACATTCTGTCTTCTCACTGTGAATAGTGGATGTTCTTTTTACTCACTTAGGTCTTCCATTATGTCCTGTAATACAATTTTTTTCACAGAGCTCTTATGCCTTCCTTACTAGATTTATTTCTAGGTATTTAGTAGCTTTTACCACAGTTATGAATAAAACATATGTTCTATTTTGATGTCTAACTGGTTATTTTAACATATAGAAAAGCTATTGATTTTTAAAATCTTTCTTGTCTCCAGGAATCTAATTTAATTCTAAATATATACTTTAGTTGAATCTTTTATATTTTGGGGCAGTTAAATCAGATTACATAGAATAATGATAATTTTGTCTCTTTTTTCCCAATATTTATGCAGTTTATTTCTTTTTCTTGTTTTGCTAAATGACCTTGAACCTCAAAACAATGTTGAACAATATATGGTGACAGTGGACAAACCTGTGTAATTCCTGATAATAATAAAATTGTCTTTGATGGTTCACCAACTAATCTGTTTGAAAAATACTCTTCATTAAAAGATTTTCTTTTAATTTGGAGGAAATAGTGAAGTGCAAGAAAAAATAATGAGTGTGTACAAAATCAGCAATAATACTTTAGATAATGACTCAAATAACAGAATCAGGGAGATATGTTGGGATTTCAACCACACTAAAGGAGAATACTTATATGACTCAACATCAAAATTATTACAGCAAAGCAGGTGCTCACATTATCTACATAGTAGAAATATGGGATGAAGGAAGCATGGATGACAAATTTGAAAACTTCAAAAAATATTTCCTCTCAGTATCTCTTAAATTTGTATCTCACCAATTTAATTCTGGATGAAAGCTAGTTTCATAATCAGAACATATGTTCATGTGACATTCTTCATTAGCAACAAAACAAAAATATCAAAACTAATGCAGAAACAAAATAAATAATAAACCCAAAATCTCTAAAATGTTCTTGTGTTGTACCGATTCTCTGCATAGCTTCAGCATTATAAAGACTTTTCTCAACCTTTATATTCTTATCTTCTTGATTTTACTTTTGTTCTTTATTTTGCTTTTGTGTACTCATTTCTGTCTCTTCTCTCATCTGCCCCACTCCCTTATTGTTAGGCTGTGCATGTGTGCCTATGTACACACGTGCACACCTGTACCGTGGGGAGGGAGGTGCACGTGTCTGCCTTTGTCTCTCCATGTCTCTCTGGGTCCTTTTGTCTCTCTCTGGGTCTTTTCTGTTACTGACTCTTGGTCATTTTCTCTGTTTTTCTCCCCCTCTTCTATCTCTTACTCAGTAGATGCTATCTGACATTCCTCAGTATCTATCATAGCAACACCCAAAGGACAAACCAAGTAACTGATTTATTAAGTATTCCACAAAACACTCAGCAGCTGGAACATAAACCAGTATATATATATATACTCCTCAGGAAGCCCTCTTCTTGACCACACAGATCATTTATGCTCTTTTCATTATACTCGTAGAAAACAACTCTGTCTGCTGCCTTGAAAAAGTATTAATGTATCAATAACTTATTAACAGAGATTCAGGGCAAAAAACACTTCTTCCTCATCTTTGCCTCCTTCTCACAGTAGGTAGAATTAGGATGAGCACTTAACAATGGGTAAAACAAATGAATGGTCCTGAGTCAGGTTGTTCAGAGTTCATTCAGGCAACCTTGAGAGGACTTGGATATCTTTTTTTTTTAAATATTTTATTTATTTATTTGATAGAGAGAGACACAGCGCGAGAGGGAACACAAGCAGGGGGAGTGGGAGACGGAGAAGCAGGCTTCCCGCCGAGCAGGGAGCCTGATGTGGGGCTCGATCCCAGGACCCTGGGATCATGACCTGAGCTGAAGGCAGACGCTTAACCGACTGAGCCACCCAGGCGCCCCGAGGACTTGGATATCTTAATACTTCAGAGTTTTAGAGCTCTGACATGGCAGAGACTTATTTTTCAATTTGATATCATGGCCAAATAGTCTGTCTGGTATGATAGGTTATGGTAGATGCTTTTATTGGTTCTCTGAACCTGCATTTCATCCTCCTCCTTTGTGGAGAGATTGGAAAACTATCAATGACTTTTCCAGATTCAGTTGCAGGGAGGGGTCCAGATGTGAATCAGGTTCTGCTGATTAGAGGAGCTCAGGAGAAGACTGTATTCCTGACAAGCACACTCAGGTTGAAGTTTGGTGGGGACTCACCTCAGCCTTTTCCTTTCTAGCCTGTAGATTTGTGGGTGTGAGCCTTTCAGTGTTGTGACAGCAACAGTAGGGGCAGAAGCTTCAAAACTCTGAATAGCAGCTAACCGGCGTGACTGACATGGTAGTGACCACCTGACTTTAGGTTGATTATATATCTGTATGATTAGAACAGTCCTGATTTATACCCATCGTGCCAGTGTAATTATTAATAGAGCCCACCTCATTCTAAAAATCTCTCCTAATTTAGATAGTAAATGTAGTAACCACACTTCCAATTCTTCAATTCTTCCAGTAAGATTTTGTAAATGCCTAACTACTTTTCTTTAAATTTCTTCTGTTTGAAATGCCTAGAGTGATTACTGTTTCCTTCATTGAACTGGGACTGATGTCAAAGATAAAGTTGGACACTAGTTAACAGTGATAAAGACATTTTATTCAGTAATAACTATTGCAACAGGGAAGAGAACCCTGAGCTCAACACTGCTGAAACAAAAGAAGACTTTTTTTTTTCCAGTTAACCTCTTGTTTATTCTGTCCTAGTTTTATACACCCACACACACACCACTCTTTTTATCACTCTTCCCTACAGCTATTGTACTCTGTATTCTACACATGATTCTCCCCTCCTTGGCAGCCCATTCCAACATCCCCAGGACAGCATTTATAATATAATCTTATTTATCAAGTGTTACTGCAAAATTAAAAGGGCAGAATACAAATAAGCCTGTTTGATAATTTTCTGAAAGAAATCTAGTAAGATATAGAAACAGACTGCTTGGCAAGAGTAGGTAATGTAGAAAACCAAAATCTTTATAATTTCTAAATGTGTTGAGCACGGTATAGGAACTCAGAAAATATTTGTTTAATGAACTTAGAAATCACAGAATGACTTAAGTCTTCAATATAAAAATGTATTTTAAAATGTCAGGAGATCGCTAAAATCTACTCCATTATTTTCTGATCAGAATTATACTGGGAGAGAAGAGTAAGGAGAGTGAAATAATATGGCGCATTTACCCTGAAAAAATACTGCAAAATGACTACACACATACCAAAATTCTCATCTGCTTGGCACATACTGTCTAGAACCTCTTGATCACCTTCTGCAGCTATATATGCCCAAGTATCAGTTTCATCTCTTGTATTTCTCCTTTCTTTAAGTAACTGCTTGTTTTCCTTGGTTTTGTGATCTTCTGTGATTTTACAATCTAGTATTTCTTCTCTTTTCCGATTATTCTCAGGAAAATAATTTTTTTCTTCTGGAGTTAATTTAAGTAAATCAAATGCATTTCTGATTTCCTTAAATGTCTTTAATCCCTTTGGCTCTCTACGGCCTTTTTCTTCCTTGTCCAAATCATGCCTTTTTGGTTTTTTTTCTTTGGGTTCATTTTTTTTTTATCTCTTTCTCCTCCCCCCTGAGTCAGGGGACTTGAGGCCTCTCTCTTCCACACCTGCTCTTGATCTTTTGTGTCTGGACAGGTGCAGGTGGCAACTTATCTAACTCTGTGGTGCTTTTGCCTTTGTCCTGATTCCTTTGCTTCTTATGTACAGTTTTCTTCTCTAGGAAAAGGTTCCTGACAAAAGAAGACTTTTAAAATACTGAGGTGTGCCAAAAGAAAGTCAATGCAGAGTGTGAAGGAGGTGTTTGGTCCCTGTAACTAGGCCGTCTGGCTAATTGGTGATTACCCAGAGGAGGAAGAAACTTCTAGTGTATTTATGACTGGGGGTGTTTGTGCAAGTTGGTGTCCACTGAAGTTAGGCCCTTCCTCTCTCACAGGGTCGGGGAACTAGAGGGATAGGTATCTCCTTCAGTGTTTTATTTCAAAGAGATAGCTCCTAGGTCCTTGAAGAGCCAGTTTTGGGTGGTAGAAGATTTATATCTCAAAGAAGCAGAGAAAAGATTTATAATTGTAAGCTTTTTCAGGAAGCATTTTAAGAGGGGGTGGATGCCATTGTTGGGACACATCTTTAAGCTATTAGAAGCTATGCTTTTAGAGTTGGTCAAGAAGAGGGTCTTCATCACTGATACACCTGAGATCATGGGATTTTGCTGAAATTACTGTGGGAATGGTATTTAATCCCCATAAGTTGTGTTGCATGGAGTTTGACTTTAGCATTAAACTTTTCTGAAAATGACTACAAGGGGATCAGTGTGGCCCCATCTTTAAGACAAACAGGAAAGTGGGATGAGCAGCATTGGGGTATACATTTATAAATATATAATAAAACAGTATTTCTTTTCCTGCTACTAGCTTGGATTTACTTTGGTATTTATCATTCCTATCCCTCCTTTCCAACCAGGCAGAGAAGCAAAGGACTATATTATATAATTGTGAACTATAACTTGTGAATATAATACATACCACAAGGGATCAAGTTTGTGGCTTGAAATTGAAAAGAACCTAGAGGTACTGCTGTCTCAGTTACTGAGCAGCCACATATTAAGCTTCCTGGCACTCTCTCTGAGTTGGACCTGCTGGGGATCATCTGCATTTCTCATCAAGATAGTCAATATTTGAAGATCAAGAATTTGGGGATAGAGAGGTGAAGTTTATTCCAACTCTCTAAATCATTTCTCATCCCTATGGAGGGAAAATTTTATTTGTTCTTCAGAAAGAGGCACAAAACACAACATTTGATTATACCACTTTGCCTGACACTTGATTTATTTTACCAGTAGATCTGTTTTTAAAAATAGAGAGCAAATTATTATGCCTGAGCGACTTCAAAGCCTTCCCATCATTCCAATTTGCAAACGTGTTGCTTCCATGGAGGATATCAAGGGGCTGTGGGTGCGTGGGAGTGAAGAGGAGAAAGGGAGGAAGATCTAAAGAATGGTGAGGAGGGGCAAGTTGCCAGAAGCTCAACAGTTTGAAATTATAACCTGGATGAATTACTTATTGTATTTCCTCAACTGAACTAAAGCCTGCTTGTCTTGGAAAGAAAATCAGGAAGACTAATTCTTGAAGTAGGAAGTAAAAGATCACACACATTAAGGTGGTTGGACTGGAATTTACAGAAAATATTTTTATAAACATTTTTGCACAGTCAGGCCCTTTGTAAAAATATGATTTGGAGAGAGTGGTGCGGAGAAAATAAAAAGTCATAAGCATTTCAAGATTGATTGTTTTTCTCTTTATTTTGATTTCATTTTGAGGGGGATAGAGAAAGAAAGAACTTCTTCTTTAAAATCTTTTTGAAAAAGATTTATTTATTTATTTGAGAGAGAGAGAGGAAAAAAAAAAAAACATGAGCAGGAAGGGCAGAGGAAGGGAGGATCTGAAGCAGACTGAGTGCTGAGCATGGAGCCCGATGTGGGGCTCTATCTCATGATCCTGAGATCAGAACTAATCAGGCAACTTAACCGATTATGCCACCCAGGCATCCCAAAAGAAATAACTTCTTAAGAACAATCTTGAATGTGTCAGTTCAACATAGATAATTGCTGGTGAGAATAAATTATACACTACTTTAATATTTTTTAAAAATATTTAAAGAATATTTTTTAGAGCAGTTTCAGGTCCACAACAAAACTGAACAGAAGGTACAGGAAACTGCCTGCCCTTCGTACATGCATAGGCTCTCCCATTATCAACATCTCCCACCAGAGTGGTTTATTTGTTACAACTGATGAGCCTACAATGACACATTATCACCCAAAGTCCATAGTTTATAATAGGGTTCATTCTTGGTATACATTCTAGGGGTTTGGACAAATGTATACAGGCATGTATCTACCATTACAGCATCATACAGAGTAGTTTCACTGCCCTAAAAATCCTCTGTGTTCCACATATTTATCTCTCCCTCCCCCCAGCAACTACTGATCTTTTTACTGTTTCCATAGTTTTGCCATTTCCAGAATGTCATATAGTTGGAATCATACAGTGTGTAGCCTTCTCAGATTGGCTTCTTTCATTTAGTAATAGCATTTAAGGTTTCTTCATGTCTTTTCATGGCTTGGTAGTTCATTTCTTTTTAGGTCTGAATAATATTCCATTGTCTGGATGGACCACAGTTTATTTATCCATTGATATACTGAAGGACATCTTGGTTGTTTCCAAGTTTTGGCAATTATGAATAAAGCTGCTATAAACATTTGTGTGCAGGTTTTTGTGTGGACATAAGTTTTCAACTCTGTTGGGTAAATAACAAGCAGTGCAATTGCGTGGTAAGAGTGTCACTACTTTAATTTTCAGAAGATGTCTCATCATTCACTACATCTTCATGTAGATAAATTTGTATTATGCTTTTAAGGACCCAGAACTTCATGCACCTTGTTTTCCTTTATGTGTGTTTGATTTCTGAATTATTTGTTCTTCTTTAGAATGGAGTAAAATATCCTTGAACTAAACCATTCTGCTAAGAACTTGGGATGTCTTGTTTTGACTCCCTCTACTGAACTCTGCCTTGGTGTTTAGACTTTAATTTCCTTTGAAGAATGCTTCCCAGATCTCAGTGCTTTTCCTGAGTTTCTGATATGTGAAACTTATTTTCTCACTTGACATTAAGGAGTACCTGAGCTTATTGTTAAGAATTACAGATAACCAAGTAATTTGCAAATACTGTTATTTAGATATGCAGAATAAATCAAACCTGCCCTTTAGAACTGAATGGCATAGCACCAAATGCATTTTAAAATTCAGTTGTCCTTCCTTTATCTCTCCCTACCTCCTTCCCTTCCTCCAGTTCTTCCTTCTGTATTCACTCATATATTAACAGTTATTATAAGCCAGACTGATAGTAGCTAAAGAAAGTAAAAGGGAAAGCAATATAGAAATATGACTTGTAAATCTATAAGGTTTGCCAGATAACAAAGAGTAGAGTCCACAGACAAATTTAGTGACTCTGAGGGGCGCCTGGGTGGCTCAGTCGTTAAGCGTCTGCCTTCAGCTCAGGTCATGATCCCAGGGTCCTGGGATCGAGCCCCACATCGGGTTTCCTGCTCAGCGGGGAGTCTGCTTCTCCCTCTTCCTCTGCCCCTCCTCCTGCTTGTGCTCTCTCTCTTGCTCACTCTCTGTCTCTCAAATAAAATCTTAAAAAAAAAAAAAAAAATTTAGTGACTCTGAAAATCAAGTATCATGAGAAAACTATGTTGGTGGAGATATAGCTCCAGAAACTATGCCTGAAAACATCCCTGTGAGCTCAATATGGGGCTCAATTCCACAACCCTGAGGTCATGACCTGAGCCCAAATCAAGAGTTGGATGCTTAACCTATTGAGCCACCCAGGCATGCCTCCATGGTTTGAAAATGGAGAGTATGTCCCGTATGAAATTTTCTTAACATAATGGTATGTCAATGACATATAACTAGAACACATTTCAGCTATTAAGTAAAAGGTGACACTACTTCCCTCCTCCCTTCTCTGCCTCCCAACTAAGCCCACTCTCTGAGATTTGTTCATTATCACTGACTTTGAAGGAAGGTTTTGTCCTTGTTTGATCTCTTAAAAGCCAGTCCTGAAAAAAGAGGACTTGGGTGTAGGTAGTTTATCTAGCGGATCCCAGGATGCATGAGTGAAGTTGAGGTGAGACAGGGAAAGGAGCCACTAAAGGGTGCACGAAATGAGATGGGTTACCTATGTAGACAATGGGGTTCAGTCCAGCTGGGGATGCTCTCAGGAACTTAGAATTATCTTACTGAAGGACAAGGAAGTTCGGTATTCATTTCCTACCCTTGTTGCTGAGGGTTGTTCCTTGTGCTGAATTCCCAGCATTTCCTGGATGCCCATAAGTATGGATAAAAGAGCCTTGCTTATAGACTTGCAATATAATAGCAAGCGTGTGGAAATACAAAGCATGCCCAAAGCAGAATAAAATTAAGACTTTTACATGGCCATCTGTGCAAGCAAGTGGCCTAAGCAATCTCTCATAGGGTAAAAAGAATCTTCAAGTTTCTAAATGATGGCCTGTCATCAGAACTGGTCATTCTAATTTCTTTGAGAAGTTTGGCCAGTATTACTGCAGAACACTTTTAGGGAGACAGCTTTAAAACTTATGGGTTATTACCTATAACCTTTTTCACTCTCTTCATACTCTACCCATCCATAGGTAGAAAATGATAGAAATGTTTCTAAGACATAGAGCACAAATGTAAGACCTGTCTCCTATGTAGAAGATCAGCAATGCCTAGATAATAATAGAGCAATGAGCCTCCATAATTGCAGTCTTTAGCTGTATAAGATACCTCACACTTGCTACCTTGTTCTTTGTGCTCATTTCTGGGGAGATATTTATAGATAAGGGAATGTAGGAAGA